TTTTGATTTTGTTTCTTTTTGATCAAACACCTTAGGAAAAATCCAATATTTTCGAAATATTTAGAAAGTATCATACTGATGTGTTCGCGATTTATGTATGAATTGCAAAATAATTCCTCTTGATCCAAAGAACAAAAGACCGAAAAAATTATGTTTTCATGTTGACACTAGTTTCAAAATGGATAAAATTCTCATTCTGCTCAAAGTGCTGCTTTTATATAGTTCAAGAGCCGGCAGCAAATTTCGTCCGTCATCTGATAACGAAATGATATACAGTGTGTGTGCGATTTCAATCAGCAACACCATTCTAATTTGAAACCTGTCGACCGATTCACAGAAACAAAAATTCTATAATATAGTACTCAACGAGTTCTATTCAAGAACGTGAACAAATTTGACATTTTCTGATTCTCAAGGCCTACTTTTGTTTGTTGAAGGGGTCAAAATTTCCAAAACGACTTAAAGGCACTTTTTCGAAACTGTGACTAGCCTTTTCGATTCAGGCATAGCTGAAATACTCCCATACGAAATTGGAACCCAAAATAGTTATACAGTGGTGAAATATGATATTTTTACAAAGAGAGAGAAACTCAAAGTCATTACCACACTAGTTCATAAAATGAACGAAAATGGTAGATAACGATAGATTTCGGAAGGATGTAATCCAATGTTCTGCGTGGCATTAGCCAGGAAAGTAGTTGTTTTTCTCTCGTTATCTACCATTTGCGTTCATTTTTTGAACTAGTCAACTAGTGTGGTAATGACTTTGAGTTTCTCTCTCTTTGTGACCATTGCATTCCACTTTGAGTATTTGGCTTTTTCCCTAGTTATATTTTTGTTTTTTCGATTCACCCTGTATGAAAATCTAAGGAGTTGATATAACCAGTGAAGTAGTCATTTAATGGAGGGACACATAGAATACTCAGATACTAAGTTTCATAGTTATAACTTCTACAGGAAGATCTCTCTAGATCCTAATCGACTCCAGGATATTCATGATATTTTATAATTACCTTTTTTTCTTTAATTTCAACGCCCTGTATCTCAGAAACGAAGCAACTCCGGACATATGTTCGTAGGAACTTTTCTTCTAAAAATGACCTAACAAATCACCCCCTGCAGTTAGGAACCGTAGTTAGGAAACACCCTGTATCTATATGAATATTTAATATAAAGTTAATCCGACTCGCCTGACCCATTGTACACCTCGACCATGATTTCAGTGTCTAACTTAAAGCTGTTCCACACCGTCTCATGACAACTGAATTCCGCCAGATGGCGATTGTATAGACAATATGAATAATCACATTTTGAAGTGTTAAGCTCCTCCCACCTTCCTACAATCGGAAACAGAGGTACAACTGACCCTCCGAAGAGGTGATGTCAGGTATAGAAACTGATTTGCATAATCAGAGCGATAATTTCTAAAATTATTATTTATTCTAGTGAATAGAAAATGATCTTTCAGCAATTGCTACACTCACCGGTATAACATATTTAATCTGCAGGAGTGTATAGATAGTGGGAAATATTTCGATACTGCAATGCTGTAAAGTATCTAAGGCTGTTTCTTTGGGTAAATTATTATAGGTTTATCTTTGGTTTTTTCCCATTAATTTTTCCAAAGATCTTTTTCTGATTGCAACAAATCTGACTGAAATGAAATTTACTAACATATTCAGAAACTTGTTTTACTAGAATCTTTGAATCACTGGTATAGAACATAATCAGGCATCAACCTGTTGATATATAATTAATTATTGTTTCTAAGTCTTTTACTGTTTCACTATTTTTGTGCTTTCAGGGGGGGTACTGTCCCCCAGTACCCCCCCCCTTATCTACGCTGGTGCGCTGGTCTATTGATTATCCAGGTAAATCGATAAATCACTTTTTAGTGAGATAAACAGCGTTGTCGTCTCAACCAAAATTTTAGCTTGTTCGGATATTTTAACATCCACCGCTCTCAAGATTTTCCTGATTTCAATAATATCATGGATGAACTGAGCAGTACACTTAGAATCTCACTCGTTCTTAGTTTTTATAAACTGGATTGTGACATAAATCACATATTAGAGTGATATCATTTGAATTTGAGGTTCATTAAAATGGCAAGTATACCAAGATCGTTAACTTAGATTGTATAAACCTCGGTATGAATGTACAATATTGAGGAATATACCGAATTTCGTTGCTGCTAATGGGCGAGTAGACTTTTAATGATTTATTGCCATTGAATTGCTCCACTGTGTCGTTAGGGACCTAAATTAATTTATGCAACACTTCTCATGCCTTTTTTATTTAAATAATGAGTGTATGCGTTGTTCGAAATTGATGAATTTCGGAGCTAATTTCAAACGTACCGTCATGGTCACTACTTGGCAATACGTCGAATAAATAGTGACGTCTGCTTTTATGCTGTTTCGTTATTGGTCAGATAATCTTCCATTCCCACTCACGAAGCAAGGTTGTCAAGTCACCAATTATAATCGAGTTATCAAAAAGATATAAGAGTCCTGTCGTTGAATAAAACATAATAGGAGGAACCCATGATATTATAGTTCATTCTTGACTTTTTTGAGCAAACAGCATTTCCAAATATTCCCTATACTCCATAACAAAATATCATGTAAATGTTGGAGACTTGGCAACATTGTGCTGATGCTGAGATGGGACAAGACCACGCCCACAAGTAGTGCGCGCCGTGTTGTCATGTTCACCGCTTCAAATGTCCTCTAGTGTGATTCAATATAATTACTATTGACACAAATGTATTGTAAGCAATAAGCAACAAATCATAAGGGAACATTTTGAGACAATTGATTTTTCATTGCTGCATAGAAATATTACCAATACATAGGTTATTGAGAATTTATGAATGTTGAATAACTGATATTTCTGAAGTTCTCAATCGTACTTCAACACATGGCAACTCTGCTATAATCTGCCCCTACTCACGAAAATGTGACGTCTGTTTTACTCGCGGTAAAAATCGACCGAAAAATTTAAAAAAATAAAATTGAAAGGTACCTGACTTCACGTTATGGAATAATAATTTTTCCAACGACCACCTATGAAAACAGCACAAAACACATTGATTTGTTATTGAGAAAGTGACTCGTTCCCCTATGACAACGTATAACAGTTAGAAAGTTCGAAGGTAAAACTCACATGGGTGGAAATATTCGAAAAACGCACAGTAACAGGGTCTATAGATTACGATGTACCAATGAATGATTATTATGCTTAATTATGGTAAGTTAAGTTATGGTCAAGTTAATGGAAGGTTAGTGTCGATTTAACATGAGTTATTGTCGTTAATGTTGACGTAATGTTAAGTTGATGAAAAGTTGAAATCACGTTAATTTCAATTGAAAGTTGAATTAATGTCAATGTATTGGCAATTTAGTGATTGATGTGAAGTTAATGTCAATCTGATATTGAGTTGATGTTAATTTGATTTTAAGGTAATGTCAAGTTAATTTTGAGTTAATGCGTTGATTTAATGTTGAGTTAATGTTGAATAATTATTGAGTTGATGTTAAGTCAATGTTAGGTTAATTTTAAGTTGATGTTGAGTTAATGTTGAGTTAATTTCAAGTTAATGTTAAGAAACTGTTAAATTTATGTCAAGTTGATGATAAGTGGATGTTAAGTTGATGTTAAACTAATGAGGTCATTTAAATATTGAAGTAAAATTAAATAATAATGATAATGATATCACCTTCATGTGATAGAATATGGTAAGAAACGTGATCCCTACTCTGGTCTTATAAACACTCATGAAATGTAATATAAATATTTGTGGTCGTAGGAAAAATAGTGTACAAAACTCGTTGGAAAGTGCATTTCCTCGCGCGAAATATGTCACTTTCCACACCAGTTATGTAAAATACTATTTCTAACAAGTGCGGAAAGTGAAACTTTCCCGCACGCGAATGCCGTTGACCCGAACGAAGCGAAGCGGAGTACGGGCAAGCAGTTGAGTGCATGAGTTACCAACACTATTTTTTCTACAAGCGTAGGAAATTGATTGATTTGTTCAATCAATTATTCCTGCAAATAGGAACAACTAACAATAGTGATATATTATTCTCTATCTTCTAATAATCAGTGATATATCGTGTGTACCGTTTGAGGCATTATGTAGGTAAGCTTGTTGCGAAAACCAGCATGCCCATTGCCCATGGTGTTTGGCCTCTAGGTGTCAGACATTTCTAGGAAATGAGCCAAAACTACTTCTTTATCTGGTGTTTTCACTTTCTTACTATTGCACCATTCAATCCATCCCGTGTAGTGCTTTTCATACCTTTCTTAAGACTTTGTTGGCAATAACTCATCTGTATCGCATCTGTAGCTGGAAGTTTTTCGTCGCAATTCCGCTGAATCAAAAATAACAGTAACGCCCTGTCTGTCACTCTGAGAATTACACTAACTAATTTGTGTTTTGATTGACATGACAACAATTATTTCCCATCAGATCAATTAAAGGCTATAGGGGATTTATATAACAATAAATAATTATTTTTCAATTTTTCTTACTTACTAAATACTGCAACAAAACACCTAAAATTTTCATATTGTGCCACCCACCACTCATATTTTGCGAGAATATTATATAAATGTTTTTCCCGCACTACTGCGGGAAAATGACACTTCCCAAACTAAATTGCGTGGGGGTAAAGTGGATCACACACGCTTGTAGAAAGAAGGATTATGAAGTTAGTGCTGGATAGGCGAGTTTGACGCCGAACGCTATGTTGAACGTTCCATGAAATTGTAGGGTATTCAAATGTTTTTGTTAGTACTTTACAGCATATTTAATCAAAAAATTGATGCATCCATGTAATATTACTACTATATTTCAGTTATATGCACATTTTATTTGAATTCACGCATTTGTGTTCTTGCCTATTAGGTACTTCTCAATGGTCGTTCAATAAACTTCATAAAATCAATAGGTCATGAAGTCAAAATTAACAGATCTCTTTCTCATTTTCTAGCTTGAAACAGAATTAGTTTTAGCGACCCAAAGAAAAAATCAACTACTTGCTGCCCAAGAAGAAGATCAGCGAAGACAGATGCGTCTGAAAACATTAGAGGAAGAAAAAGAATCTCTCTTGCTCGCCAGAGATCTTCTTCGACAGCAAAAAGAAAGCAGGTCTTCTGCAGTTGGTAATTCATCAAGAAACTCCGGAGACGGATGGGTTATCATTCCTAGGCATCAAGATCATGGAGAGAGTTAGCATTGATTCACAAAAGGATATGGAAAACATTCATGCAAAACCTTTGGAATTTAAAGACAACTCTTGAGTTCAGAAAGTGTTTCATTCTTTTACAAGGGTAGAAGTACAGAAGATATTTCTGCACCCTCAATGACGACAAGAGAATGTGAACAATAGTGTGGATATTTATTATCTAATGCATCATTTCAAGAGTTCTCTAATTTTTATACTCTTTAATCTGATCCCTATATTTATGGATTGCCACACCTATAGGATACTAGTACTTATATTTACATCTTTTGTTGTATAAAAGATAACAGTGTTTTTGGCGAGATTTTTTTACTATTGTACATTTGTAAATGTTTCTGTAATATTAATAAATAATCTTGTTTTTTCTCAAAATATTATTAAGTAATAAAATAATTACTTCAATGAGTATGCAATTTTTTGTGAACACAATAATCGGAAGTGATTCAACATCTGTTTGGAGAAAAAAATCTTCCAAAAACCCATTCCTGTGCTCAAATTTTGATTTTGAATTATTTTGACAAGAGGGTGGATGAGGGGTGGAATGGATGCTACAAAATCAGACAACTATCTGGCCGTATTCAGGAAGCCAGTTTGCATATGTTTCAAGAAAACAATATTCCAAGAATTAATTCCTGAGCTCAAACTTAAAATTTGTAATATTTTGACAAGATAGGGTAGAAGAAGGGTGGAAATTGATGTTAGAAAATTAGACATTTATCTGATCATATTCAGAATTCTATTAAACATCTGTTTCAAGAAAAAAAACTCTCAAAAATCTATTCTTGAGGTCTAAGTTGGGATTTGAATTAATTTGGATAGAAGGTGGAAAGGGGTGGAAATAGTTGCTACAAAATCAGATAAAAAGGGTGGAAGACCGGTGGAAATGGGTGCTACAAAATCAGATAACTATCTGATCTTGTTCAGTGGTTTTCCAGTTATTATAGAAGCTTAAATCATGAAATTCATAATATTTTCAGTTCTAATTTGATTTGAGCTAGTTTTATCAACATCGTCTCTCTGCGGCCTGCACTTGTTGATCTAATTCGTTGCTGGATGATGTTGCATTGCTACTTTCACACTGGTCTGGAGTAGTAACAAGTTGAAGAACAACTTGATGATGGACGGGATGCACAAACAAATTTAATTTGATGATAATAATAACAGTAATATAAAATATTTTCAGGGGAATTTCATGAAATATCTCAGGGTGGCGTTCTGTTTTGCAAGCAAGTGTATATATTTGATCATTAAACTCACTTATGGTTATTCTTTATTATTATCAATATCATCAAACTGAAAAATGATGATAATTTAGTATTGCTAGAAGTCCATATTGCTCAAAGTGAAGTGACATTTTTCAAAGGAAGGAAGGAAGGAATGCTCTCTCTGGAGAATGACTTTAGAGCATTCCTTCCTTCCTTTGATTACATTGTTCAAGAGAAACAATTTAAAAAATCGAGCACATGAATAAGATTCAAGGAGGAATTGGCCATGCTGCATAAGTTTTCTGAAAACAATAAACAGGGAGAGATAACAGTGTAGGTAGGATATTGAAATATATATAGGGTGTTCACCTGTATAAAATTTCCAGAGTCAGTCATTTTACAAACTCCTATTTTTTTTTGGTCCAGTTATGGATGCCTTGATGTCAGTTTTTTTTTATCACTTGGAGGGACAGTTTTGCTGAAATAAGAGTACGGACACATGACAAGCAGTGACTGAAGGCATAACTCTAAAAAAATTTAATGACATGACCAATGGAAACAAAATATGAAAGTGGCCATTGTGGAAATTGAGTTCAGCTAGCAAAATTTGCGTTAGTTCCCAATATTTGAATTTAATGTTGAATATGGGACGTCCCTGGGATATCCTGTGTCGGGACATGGTATATACTAGGGACGTCCCAGGGACATCCGCTTTCCACAAAAAGAGGCATTCTAGGGATGTCCTTCCGGTACGTCCCTGGGATGTATCAAGTACGAAGAAAGGATATCCCTAGGACGTCCCAAGGATATCCAGAAAGTCGAGTACGGATTGAACCCGGGACCTTTGGCTTATCAGGCACGCATCTTACTCCATTGGCTATTGAGCCTCCGGAAGATTTATGTACTAAACAGATTTATAAACAGGACTTAACTACAGGAACCTGAATAAATACAACTTTGTTAGGATTTGGGTATAATTATTATATCATTCTTGGGTGTTTAAAAATGAGGGGCATTATGCATGTATGATTTCTGTTTGCGAAAAATGGTAATTTCTTGAGAAGTTCTGTAACTTTATTCTTTATTTTCATTACGATTATTTTCCGGAAGACAAACAAACATTTTCCAAAAAATGCAACTTAATACTTTGATGACATTCAATTACTCTGATGTGAATGGATATCAGATATTCCAGAGACACGAATAGGATAGCCTAGGGATGTACCGGGCGGGATGTCCACTGGACAACCACTGCAAGACATCCCCTGGATGCCCCAATCATGTCTTGTACCGCGGGACAAAAAAGGGACGTACCTAGGACATTCCTGTGTTGTTAGGGTATTTGAAATTTCATATTTTGAACATAGGATCCTATTCTCGAACCTCAAACTATAATCATTATACTTGTATTTGTTGAATTTTCTGATCAATCATGCACTATAAAGTGTCTTAGTATTTTATGAGAGCAAATATAAGTTTTTTAATTTGTTGCATCATTCTTCCCATTCATTTACATTATGCTCAGCAGAACTGGCTACTAAATCCTGACTCTTCTATTGAAAAACTAGTGCATCCTAAAATTGAATAATTTGACTACACATATACCCTTTGTTGAGTATTTTAATAATGCTATCAATTATTTAAGTTACAAACTATAACCCCTTTTGGCTAGTCAGATGAGACACCACTTCTTTATGAAAAGGAAGACAGAGAAAGATATATGGATGTCCCTTCACCATGGCAGTAGAGGAAAGAAGATTGGAAGTGCATGGAAAAGCATAAACATGTCTTTGTTCAACCAAACCTTGGAAGTCCTTTTAATAAATTGGGGTTACACCTTCTGTCACTGCTTGTACTCTTATTACAGCAAAACTGTCAAATACATACATGGACTCTAGGTTTGATGAATAATAATAAACAATCTACCTAATTATCAAATGTTTAATATATACAATATTCATTATAATTTAACAAAATAAATAAAAATGGTCAAACAGTAAATATCAAATGTAATTGAAATAAATACTAAACAGGCAAAGTACTACTGACTGACCTGGAGAACATTTTAGAGAAAAATGAAATTCCTGCTGTACCTCCTGGTATGCTGGCTATCACAGTCCACAGTAATGAAATTATTTGGCCAACAGCAAATAATACAGTAAATGGAGTACTTTGTAGATGCAGAGCACAATATAATGTGGCAAATAGAGTTCCACCATAAGATAATGTTAGTAGCAGTCTTTCTTTGGCAAACATAGTCTTGAGGAATGAAACAGGCCCATACAGAAATAAGAAACTAAAACCAAATTGAAAGAGTAGAATCTGACTTTATAATGATCAGATTAACCTACAGCTACTCACCTCATTACAAAAAAAATACTTCCCAATGTAAAAAGTAGTGCGAATTTCCTGGCTTTGAACAACAACACAGGAATGTACATAAGTGAAATCGAGAAACACAATATTCCCAATCCAACACATATTCCAAACATAGCAAATCTTTGAAACCGTGACTGAAAATAGTCATTATTTAAATCAGCAATAATCCGAACAATAATTCAATGAACTTACAAGACTGGGACAAATCTCTCTCTTGGTTTCTTGAAACCAGGTACTTTCTTCTTGTTGTTGTTCCTTCTTGAACCAGCCCGTCAGATTAGGTTTTTGTAATGTTGGCATATCCAACTTGAATGTTTTCTTTTTGTCACTCTGAAGGAGTAAATACTCATCCAAATCTTTCTTTAGATCAACCATTTTCTTAAATCTGTTTGTATTTTCAAATCACAGTAAATTCATCATAATATTTAATGTTTTTTTTAATAGGTTATGTTAAACGTCATGAAATAATTTCTTCTTCCTTTTCGTTATATGTCACTAGTCCGCATACTACTTTGTATCTCGGGACCAACTTCTCATCAAAAAACACATCCATAAATTTAATACTACTCCTTCCTATTACTCTACCCGTAAGCATAACAGTATAAACTTACCAATACCAAGTTCTTCTCTAGTAAAGGATTCACTCATTTATAATGGATGCAAGATGTTCAATCATTTGCCCGACTATATAAGAGATATCACCCACATTGACCATTTTAAAAAAGCTGTCCATTTGCTATTATCAGATCGGCCTTACTATAGTTTGGAGGAATTTTATTCTGATCAATTCTAATTATATGTACCCTTTGCTAATGTAAGAGTCTTTTTAATGTCTGTTTTATATTTTTAGTTTTTTATTTACACTTTTAACTCTACATATGTGCTTTGTCCATAAGAATGTATCTTTTCTTCATGACAATAAAGTATATTCTCTCTCTCTCTCTCTCTCTAACCAAATCGACCAATAGGCGTTGATGACGACAATGATGCCGACGCCTGAATCGATGGTGTTGAAATCGATAAAAATATAAGAAGAAGAAGAATATATGAGAAAAGAGAAAAACCAAAAAAAACCTTAAATTTATTTCAAAGGTGCTATTTTTTTGGAAATTTCGATTTGATATGTCAGGAAAACGTCGAGCTAACACAGACTTGAATCAAGATAACTGGGAATGTGAAGATGAACCTGAAGATGCTGGAACATTCAAAAGAGCTTCCTCGGATGAGATGAAAAAGAGGGTATTTAAAATTGCCAAAAGAAGGAGGCCAGTTTCTTCACATGCAGTGAGTATTTAAGAAATGTGTGTGGATTTTCATATCATGTTTACCTTGCTTTTATCATTTCTATGATTGTGGATGGTTGTCACCCTCTATCAACCTTTGTTTGATGTTGCCACTGTTCGAAATTCCCACTACTATTGATTGCAAGGATGCTCATATCTCAATACTCAATATAAAACTATCAAAGTGCCCCTGCTAATAAATATCTAGATTTAACAATTCACTTTGAGCATTTCAGCTATTTCATAGTTGAAATATCTATTCCAACTATTTTGATCCTATTGTAGTGGACAAATTGAATAGAAGCTCCACCTGATTTGATGACCTTTTGAGATATTTGAATTTTAAACTGAATACTCCCAACTTGATTTATAAGTCCACTTGTCTTTCCTAAATCAACCATTATATATATTTAACCAGACCCCAGACCTGACCCAAATTAGGGAGATGAAAACTTCAAGATATATAGGTAGTACACTAGTACCTATAGTTTTTACAGGAGTTTCTTAAGTACATGTAAAAAATTCAGTAGCAAGTTGCTGACTTCAAAATAAGAGAAAGAAAAGTGGGGATTTTGAGATTTACTGGAGTGTGGAAGAATAACATAAGGGGGGTAATCTTGCTTCTTTTATATGGTGTAGAACGTCCAGGGCAGCCAATCAGATTAGTAAAAAAAATCATTGAAAAACTCCAAGGCATCATATTAAGGCAAGGTAAGTTAATTACATGCCTAAAAGTGTGCATTTTGATATGTTACCTCTGGACATTCTCCAGTGTGATTAATTTTTAATAGATTTTGAAGGAAATTATTGAGGGATCCCAGAAATAATAGTCAATTGAGTTTGCCTATGTTTTTCCCACTTTGTGCCATTCTGTTCTTCTCACTCTTTCTTTATCTCTCACTCTCTTGCTGTTGCACTTGAATATGTAGAAATATACAGGGTATTCCATATAACGAAACGAAGTTGCTGCCATTTCCAGAAGAACTGGAAGTCTGCATATTGGATTGAAATCCGAAATGGTTGTTCATATTGTATAATATACCAAATTTCGGAAAAATCCGTTTACTAATGCAGAAGTTACAGGGGTGGCCCGATACCCTGTGGTCACCGGGTATGTCGACATGAGCTTTTTATCTTAAAATTGTAAATTCTTTAAGCTGTTGAAGTCCTGCTCCAAGAAACTGACTCACCCTGTATATATTATAATTTAGTTATTACATTCAGTCAGCAAAAAAATGCCAACTGTCAGAATAAGGAATTAAAAAATTGGTCATGACTTTTGGTCATGTCCAAATTGTCAGTCATTTGAATAGGGTCTACTTGAGGGTTCACTTAACTTCCCTACATACGGCCACCCCCACCATGCAAACCAACAGATTAATATTTTTCTGTTATGAGAAACAGGTGGGTGGAATACACTAATAATATCTGAAGCGCTCACTCCCTCTCCCCCCCCTCCACCCCCCTTAGTAGATTGTAGATTGTAGATGGGTCGTGTAGGCTGGGAGTCCTCTCGATCACTGCGACCTAGAAGATCTATTGTGATTACCCCTATCTAGTTTTGGCCCTCTAACCCTAGACTTCTGATGAAGCCTACGATTTTCCTGACGGTTGACTTTTCCACTTCAGCAGGGCTGAGATAGACCTGTTCTAGGTGGTTCATCCTTTGGCGGACTAATACTTCACATGAGCAAAGTATGTGTTCCGCGGTTTCGGTCGCATTGTTACAAAAGCGGCAAGTGTCAGTCTCCGCCAGACCCATCTTTTTGAGGTGGTACCTCAGAGGGCCGTGTCCTGCGAGAAAGCCTGTGATAAGCTTTAGCTCTGGTTTGCTGAGGCTGAGTAGCTCTTTGGCTCGGTTCTGCGAATGGTTGATGAATCTTCTCGCTTGTCGTTGACCTGGAGTTGCTCTCCAGTAGGAAGACTTCAATTTCTTCCCATTTTCCGAGTTCTCCCTTTAGGTGAAACTTGCTTATCCCACAAAAAGGCTCAGGACCAAAAAGTGCAGATGCTGCACCTTTTTTTGCAAGGCGACCAGCTGCCTCATTTTCTTTGATTCCTTCATGCCCTGGAACCCACATAAGTGTGACTTTGTTGCCCTTTCCCAGTTGCATGAGTGTTTTGAAGCAGTCCCTTAGTGAAAAAACATACCTCATTTAATTAATAATAAACTTTTTTCTTTTCAGCGTCCTATCTGATAGGTCCCCACAATGATGGAAGTAAGATATGGTGCGCGTATTCGGCCATTATTACGTATTGAAAATTTCAGAAAAATCACTCCACCTACTATGATTTCTCTACGTCACAACGAGCGAGACGTTGACTCGACATTTTCCCGCTAGATGGTGATGCTGCTATTGCTATGTGGACGAGTGGAAATAAAATGGCAAATGGCATTTTACGTACGCGGAACATATGTAACAGTGGGATTATTCAACTCTGAATTCGAAAAATCTGCGACAAGTTCAAAACTGACAGATGTCATAATTGTGCAATGTCGCCATCTATTAGAAGATCGACGGAACCATTGCTCTCGCTTTTCGGAGAGGTCCAGTAAAATTTCGGAAACAAAAGCGCATCAGTAATTACACCATATCATACTTCCATCATTGTCCCCACTAAGCTATTGAGCTTGTTTACCTCCTCTACTATCCACATATGTCCGCAAGTAATTTATTTCTGAGATACAAATTGTCAAAGTTTGATTGTAAATTTCGGTTTTTTCGTGTATAAATTCCAAATAATCAGTGCCAAATGTCACATAACTTGCGGACATTTTGTTTATACGTAATTTCCTTCTTATTTTGACGTCAGCAACATGCTCCTGAATTTTTTACACATACTTTTTAACACCCTCTATAATCATTGTATAAAAATATAAGAAATGACAGCAGAGGTTCACACTTTAGCTCTGAAACAAACAAATTGCTAAAGAATCTCAGTCTTGTATATAGTAATAGAATCATGACTAGATACTATGCCTCGATACTATGCTGACTACTACAACAGTAGATACCCTGTTACATACACATGGGTTCTCCAACAAATTGTATTGCCCCTGATGTTTTATACACTCAAGTACCTGAAACTACTAATTTTCAAGAATCCAATCCTCATGAATGGCGAATTCTTGATGTTGATCATACCTATATGCAGAAAAGATTTAAACTAGAACACATTTAAATTGTTAAAAGAACTTTACTGCCTTAAAAAATACCTATAGGTAGTTTGTTAATCACTAGCAAGTTCTTGAAATATTCAATTTAATAGTGTTCTGTATAATGTCACACAGTTTCTGTTTTCAACTTCCTAGGTATCCCTAATCATAACTTTTACTTTATAGGATGATGGAGATGCAACCAAAAAAAGTGTATTTGCTAGTTTTGTTGCTTTCTCAAAGACATCAGAAGTACCAAAGGAAGCATTTTCATTCTTGACAAACATAACTTCTAACAAGAATTCTTGTGGATATTCTGAGGGAAGTGGTGAAAGTGTTGAATACTCTGAAAAAAATAATGTTGACAATCTAGTGGTTGAAAAAAGTGAAATTCCAATAGGAAATGAAGTCAAGGACGATTCGAAATTGTCTTGTAGCATAAAAACTGATCTCAGTAATAGTAGTAATAATACAGGTAGTATATCTGACTTATCCGAATTATCTGATTTGTCTGGAATGCCTGTCCTGAAGCAAAAACATCCAGATGTTCAGAAAACAGATAGCATTAATAAAAATGATAGTGACAATGAAGGAGAGGAAATTAATGATTGATGTCACAAGAAATAGCAAAGTTTACTATGTTAGGCAATAATGTAATGTCCAATCTGCAGAGGATACTGATTTATGGGATTCTATACATAAGATAACTATTTGTATGTTGAATTGAAGAAAACCTGTGATAGTTCTGATTAATGAAGAATAGGTATCAATATCATGTCTTACTGTTACTCTGATGAATGATTATTTATAATAATATTTTTTTTATTTTTTCATTTTATCTACCTAAGGACATATTGACTGAGAGTTTATACAGCATATAAGATAAAATAAGAAATATGATAAGAAAGTTCAACATACATATTATAAGTAACAGAAACATTCATACATGAACTAAGATCAAATAAGAAATAACTTTTTATTTTATTTGATACAATTCAAACCCGAATGTCCCGTACCTGAAATAATTGTCCTTGGTACGTCCCATCTCGTACACCTCATGCAATGTCCCAACAAGGACGTCCGACCTGGTACTTCATTTCAAATGTAATAGAAATAGCATCCTTTAGACGTCCCACGCGGTACATATTGTAGAATGTCCATGCTAGGACGTCCTTAGCATGCCCCTGATGGGATTTAATTTCAAACGTTCCTCTAGGGAGATCCATCGGATTTCCCAAGTACTACATTTTCTGACATGAATTCAGATCTTATATAATGTCCCTTCTAGAACAACCATACAATATCCCAGACGGTACATTTCTTGGAATATCTGCACTCTTAGTATTTCCATGATCGTATAACACTCGAAATGTCCCTTAGGGACATCCGTTGGATGTTTCAATTGGTTCATGAACCGTTGACTTTGGAAGGAACTCCTAATGATAACCCATATGTTCATCTAAGTAATAACTACAAGAATATCGCTCAGGAAATATAATTTCATAAGGAGTACAACGTCTTATGAACGTCTCATGGACATCCTCAGAATGTCCTGGTTACGATTCGGAATGTGTCCTGAGGAACATCCATCGGTGGTATACATTGGCATCAGGACTTCAGGTAGACATCCTATATGAATGTCCTTCCCGCAAGCGAATTACCATTTTTCTTCCAATGTCCTAGAAATAACGTCCTATTGACGTCCCAGTCGGTACTGAGAGGACGTTAACTTATACCTCGTAGGCTTTAAATACTCCCCGTCAATGTCCTTCACTCAAGTCCATTGGACTTCCTTGGGAACCCTTTCAGGATACCTTTTTTTTGTGAAGTCGGGATATTTGTACTTCCCACGGACGTACTATGGATGTCCGCGGTACCATTTAGGACGTCCCGAATGTCCCGGTTAGACGTCCTATGGTCAAAGGGTGACTAACCTACTATTCTTTGCTATGGTTATCTATGTGACTTTGAAAATGGAAGTGCGCATGTGCAAATTTCAGGTTGACAGTTGACGTAAAAGTCATTATCTGGTGTGATTGGTCCATTCTAATTTCTTGAATTAATTTATTTTAATTCTTATTTTATCTTGTTTGCTGTATATAAACCCAGAGTGATACCAACAATTCCTTATACAAATGATATTATTAGGCCACATCTTTTATCATTCCTTAGTAGTGATAAATTGTTCACACAAAAATATTGTTTCACATTTTGTTTTAGATATACCTCTAGTAGGTATGTATTGTATTTTTTTTGACAACAATGAAAATTGTCGAGACAAAAACGTTTCATTATTTATATTATATATATTATTTATATTAGTGGATTTGAAGGAATAATTGATGAAAACCACGAGAAAACTGGAGGGCGGTAGTTTTTGTTTTTTTTTTCTGCATAAAAACAACCGATTTGCTCGCTGGGTATAGGTACTCTGTAAATTCTGGAAAAAATATCATTGGCCCATCAAATTTTTAATAGTATTTTTGAAATAAGTATCCTTCACAAGTAGGACCATTTCGAGTAGTGTAATTTGAATTAGTGCAGATGAAGCATTTACTACTCTCTTGCACTCTCCCTTTATGGAAACATATAGTTGGTATTTCAGACCAATCAGGACCATATTGGTCTTGGCAAGCCGTACATGGCCCCTTCTGCTGGAGTTCAACTCGTCGAAAAAGAAAACGGGATCCTGCACCATATGGCTCGTTGCTCCTGAGTCGATGATCCACCTGGTTTTCTTATGCTGCGGATCTGTTACTGTAGCGCGTAGGCAATACTCTGTATTCACAACATAGCAGTAGTCGTCCACAACATTTCCGCCTTCCAAACTTTATAAGTTGTGCACTTATCATGTGTCCGTGTCTTTTGCAGAAAAAACATGTCCTCTTGGAAGTTGTGCCTGATGTGCTTGGTTGCGAGCTTGGGTTGCTTTTGTAGGTAGCTTTCATAGCTGTTTCGTCCTATGCCTCGCTTATTGCTTCGATCACTATCTCTTTGACGAAATCTATAGCATAAGGTCCCGGCCTGCCCTCCTAGAGCCATTATAAGGATTCCGTACGACTTTGGGATACTATACACATAGCAAGATTCCTACAAGCGTGTTATCGTCTTATAACTTGGCCCATGCCAAAAAGTCTGTCAGCATATTCTGAGAGCGTAGAAATGTGTTCAATCATATCACCGCCCTCTTGGAGAACTATATGATAGAGACGCCGTTGTAAATGCTCTCTACCTGAAAGGGTCGACTTTTGGTGATACTCCTTTATCTTTAAGCCTTGTTGGCTGTCCTCTACCAGCAGGCCGATAGTAGCTTGAGCCGCTTCATCCTTGGCAGTCCATTCGGCGTCAACTCTGGAGTTGCTGGCTCTTCTTTGACAACATCCCACAATGTGTCCCTCATCAGCATGAGCTGGAGTTTATAGCTCCATGTTGAATAGTTTTCGCTGTTGAGTTTTTAGACAGTGGCACGTACAACAACAACCATTTTCAACCTTATGGGGATTTACTATCACCTCAGTAAACTTTTAGCTTTCACTTGAACTAGCTATCACTTCCAACTAATAATTATTTTCATTATACCTACTCATTTAACTTTGTCTTTATTTCACAATAGAGTCTGGGCTCATAACCTGTTAGAAAGTTAGGTAGCATGTATATTTAAGAGAACTTCATTTAAATATTCACTACAGTATATTTTTCACTTTAGCAGTAGGTACTAGTGGAACAAAAAAGAATCTGAGTAGTAATGATTGAAAATATTATGAGTGTTAAAAACAGATTTGAAGAATTCAATACTAACTGTCAGGTTCGGGTATCGGCAAAGACTGACACTCTCGTCTACAAGGCGTTGAGACCTGACTGTCAGCTGAACTTCGCGTGTGCATAGCGTTGCTTTTCCAACTACATATTGCTCGCATTTAGAATTCAGATCAGAAGCAAATAGATCTATTTGTGGTTTGGCAAACTTTTTGCAGATTATCCTAAAATGTTTCTGTGAAAGTTCTTACTCTCTGTTTCAATGTCTCGACGTCTGGATTCGTAGTCGGCTTGAGTGTTTTGTTGAGTATCATAATGTATGAGACATGAAGAAATATTGTTAGGAGTTAATTATTTGAACGCCATTTCTCAATACAATAGTACCTTTATACATCAAGGGACAAAAATGCAAGATATTTTCCAAGGTGCGATTTGTAGCTCGAGGGCGAAGCCCGAGAGATACATAGCACCGAGGGAAAAATATCATTCTGTCCTGAGGTGAATATACTATTTTTTACGCTGGCGAAAACACAAAAATTAAGAAAGAATTAAAATTTGGTCAAAGTGTTTTGTCATAATTACTTAGTAGTAGTATGGTTTGTGGAATTCGTATCTTGACAATATGCATCTTGTTGACAACCCATGGTGACAGCAAATATCAAACTGAAATTTATGAAAACACCTTTGAAAATGGTTAACGGTTATGGAACAAGAAATCGAGGGGAACCCTCAGAAACAATTGATACTGCTTCTGCAGTGATTCTTGCTACCAGTGAGATCTTGAAATCTGTATATGCAGCTTATACTCGATTTAGAGTAGGGTGTAACGAAAAAAAAAAGCGCAAAGCTATGCGGAAAATGTAAAGTTGGTATAAATTCCCTAAGGAGAAAATATGTCACATATTATCTCCCTAAGGAATAATACTAGACTTCTGCCCCTCTTTTGTTATCAGAGAAACTAACTTCTACTCCCGTCGGCGTAAAAACACCGTATATTCGCTTGAAGAATCACAACAATGTGGCTATCGCATACACGTCTTGCCAAAGCCTCGGATGGACCGCTGGAATCCCGCTGCGATATGCCTATCATCCATGAGCTGTCATTTCTCGCTCAGTCACCTTTCGCTGGATTCAGGGTTGCCGGATTGCTTAATTTGTCACCGCTTACAGTCGGCCATCCTGAAACAATACCCATCAGTTGAGGTCCAACGCGATAGTTAAACCTCTCCAAGTCAACATTCCACAATCACCAAAAATTCGCTCTCATTCAGTATAATTCGGTTAGTTAGTCCCGTACTCTCTCAACCCTGAAGCACATCAATCAAATCTTGTCGATCTGTAACCTCATCGATACTATCTCTCCAATCGCCTACATCATGCATGAGTTAATCGACCGCCGCTACAACTTGAAATTTTCATAACCTCTTACGCCTTTCAACTAAGTATCGATCATGACCCAATATTTCAGCAATTCTATGGGGATCATCATACTTGTTGATCATTTGTCGATTCAAACCTTTCTCACCAGAACAAGTGCGGACCTTCAACCAAAGCACCAAATCGCCCACCTTATAAGTATCGGTTGCAACCTTTCGCCTGAAGGTCAAATCATACCTTCAGTGTACTGCTCGTCTTGATCAGGTTTCGCCACATCATGCCTGAGAAGTACTTGGTCTCGTACCTCTTCAACTGTTTTGCCTTTTTAATTTGCCACATTCGCCTTTCAGCACGCCTGTTGTTCAATATGTCATATCTACATTGGCGCCTATTTACCGTGTGAAAATGAGATGTGCAGGTGAAAATCGAGGACTCTGAATCACTGTGTGATTGAAGCAACTGAATAATCTGGAAGATTA